AAAAGGGAACAATGTCAGTAAGAGCAAACGATCAGCTTTGAGTCTGATTGGACACACAGGTGCTGACAGGAACAGAGGCAAAGCACAACATTGAGGGCAGTTCTTGAGAGCTCTAATCAGTATAGAAACCATCTTATAAGTCATCGTTATCAAACAAAAACAATCGTCCCAACCATCATCATCATCAATAATATGGAGACCATCATCATTAAGTTAGTAGGTATTCATGAAAGAGCTGGGTCATGTCATAGCCTTAAAGGGCCACAACCAAAGGGCAACCTGGCCTTCGGACTTTTTGAAGTTCAGGAGTCTGATAAGTAAAACATTGTTGGTACAGAGGAGGAAGTGGTCGCCGTGCAGGTGGGTGGAAATGCTATGCAACCACCAGCAGTTCGTGCAGAGTAATACAGTAATTCCAATCTGCATGAGTCAGGGCATGGCTGAAGTAGGCTGCAGCATGTTAGCCACCTTCTTCCTGCTGTGAAAGGACAGCTTGACCCCACATTGCTGGCATTGGTGTCAGTGATGAAGCAATGACTGTATGATGAAGCAATGACTGTATGATGAAGCAATGACTGTATGATGAATCAATGACTGTATGATGCCAGACCAAGAAAGCTCTGCAGCTCACAGACATTGGTTGGAGTAGGCCAGTCTCGACAGCGACCACCTTAACTGGGTCTGTGGCTACCCCGTGACCTCTGACAGCCCAGGAATGCTGTCTCTCTTCTTAGTAGTTGACACTTAGCAGGGTTCAGCCACAGACCAGCTCCCCTGATGGCAGCTAAGACTTCTACCAGGTTGGTCATGGCCCTGTCAAAAATCGTAAGAGTGCACTAGCAGGTCGTCAAGGTACAACACGCAACTATTCCAAGGGATTTCCACAAGAACTCTCTCCATCACCGGCTTGAATGTTGCGGAGGCATTGCAGAACCCAAACAGCATGGAAATACCACAGCCCTTGCCCATTCGTGAAGATTGTCTTTGGTCTATGCCTCTGGCAAGCTCCACCTGCCAGTAGCCACTTTGAAGCAGGATCCCCTGATGTAGATTTCGGTGGTTAGGCCTGGCACACCACCTCTGACTTTTTCTCATTGTCTTATAGGTCTAGCATGAAGCTGATGTCCACTGGTCCTCTGCTGGCTAGGTTGCGTCAAGAGCACCAGCTTGGTGCATTCAGCTTCTCAGAGAGCCCCATTAAAGCATTTGGGTACAAGGTGTACATGTCAGCGCAGGCACGCTGGTGATGGCCCTTGGAGAAAAGCATGGAGGGCCAGCTCCTGAACCTGGGAGGGGTATGGCTCTAGGGATGTCATTACATTTAACTTAGGCAGCTTGACTAACATTTTATAAGAGGCAGCGGCTGAGGGTACCTGGTTAGCTCGTGGTTAGCTCCTGGATGTATTATAGAATAGATACAGCTGCTCAGTGGCTTCTGAATCAAAAATGTTTTACTTGCACGTGCAAAAGTACCCGGATCTTTTACGTTACTGGGCCCATAGAGCATGCGGATTTGGAGGTGCAGTTGCGGTCCTGATGCATTTTCATTGTTTATACGCTAAAATACCAGGTTTTGACACCATGGATATGAGCCTCAGGGCAGGGAATTCCAAAGGATTGGTTCTATCATCTCAAACTCACGATCACCTCAAGTCTTAAAATGTGTCTGTGGGACAGACAGCACGTGTAGGGTGTTCAACCTTTCGTGAACGGGTGGGTGAATACGGGTGAATTCGTTCTGACAAATATTCTAGGGCCTGACCGTGAATGACTCTGAATGTCAGAGTGAGAATTTTTAACTTAATCCTATAAACCATAGGGAGCCAGTTCAGAGATTTAAGTATGGGAGTGATGTGAGAATAGAATCTGATCCTGTCAGTGGCAAAACAATCACATTTTAAGGGGAATACTTTGAAAGATGATGTTGCAGATGATCTAAAATATCAGTTAATTATTAAAGCAGCTGATTCCAAAGCGTTTTCCACTTTTTGGTTATTTAGAATTAAACTTGTAAAAAAACAAGGCGCATTCCGGTTTTGAAATAATCTGAATATCTTTTTAATCTTAATGACATTGAGCAGATAGCATTAAACAAATTATGTCTGCATATCATCCAAGTGTATCCAAGTATGATTTCTGTGGTTAATCTGTCACAGATACCATACCGGGTTGTTCCAATAGATGGCAGCAAAGTCAAATAGAAAAATCCGTTTGGTGAAACCGGTGAAACCTGTAAGAACTATGTAACTATTTTTACAGTCTATGGTAAGAACAGGCACAGCAAGAACAGGAATGAAGGAAGTAAGAGCCAATAACTTCAGGGAGACGCTGATCCATTTTTTTATTTAATAAAAAGGTTGGGGGGGGGGGGGGGTAAAGAAAGAATTATGCCATTTTCTGCATCTTAATTAAACACATAGTCTAGGCCAGCCTTTCCCAAACTTAAAACTGCCGCTACAAAATTACTCCGGGGCCCGTTATAAAATAAAAGTTTTGACTACAGCTATCACCCTCAGTTAGGGTAAATTATTGGACATGACAACATAATATTATGGCAAGATAGACACCAATGTTTACTGAACATTATGTCCATGAATAGTCATTACAGGCCTTACTAATCACTTAAAGGGTTGACTCATGCTTAATCATCATTATTGTGATATTTATTTTATTTTTATACTTTGTGGAGGGCTTTTCGCGGCCCACCTGCAGTACCCACAAGGCCCACCAGTGGGCCGCGGCCCACACTTTGGGAAGCACTGGTCTAGGCTAATCAAAGTCATTTGGGGGAAGTATTTCTGTATCACTTTGAAAGTCTGAGGGAAACCTCAGTTAACTTGTGCAAAATTCCTCTCATTCTTGTTAAAATTATTTTGTAGCTTTCATTTAGCAGATCACCCTATTGTGAATTACATAAACCTAAATTACTTAATCTAACACTCTGACGAGCACAATTAAAAAACCTTCTGTTATTTGTTTTAATCATCATCTTGTCGTTATTAATCATTATTAGGCTGTCATGTTTTCTTGGCTCCCAGAGATCAGCAACTTTACCTGCCTGGTGAACATCACCATAACACCCTCCATGATAGGTCTGAAATACTCAAATTACAAAGGGAACAAGCTTCTTAAAAGCAAGAAAATAATTACATTTAAAGAAATCGCAGTTTAGGCTTTAGTTTTTTGAGGCATTCAGTATTTTAGTATCTCGATTAGACAATTATACATGGTACTGGATCATACAGAAAATTTATATTGTAGTTTTCAACGGTTTAAAAGCGATAGCAATAATGAAAAGACCGAGCCAGCCAGGAGTCGAACCTAGAATCTTCTGATCCGTAGTCAGACGCGTTATCCATTGCGCCACTGGCCCTATAAAAATCTATTCACATGGTCCCTCCATTTTGTCTTTTAGGCTACATTTCTTATTACTTGTTAAATACTCTCACAGTTTGTTACAAAAATCTAAGGCATATCCCTATCTAGGATTTATCAGCTATGACGGACCAAACGTTAATGAAAATCGATGAATATAGTCCAAAATCTATAAAGCCAGGAGTCAATAAACAATGTAACGTAATGAAGCAGGCTTGTGCCACTGGCCCTTCAGGCTTCTGGGATATTATTTCCTCGGTTTTGCCTCTCAGGATTTTTACTCCCTAGTGCCTGCCGAAAGACACAGTCTATGGTTAACACCTATGGTTAACACCCACCTAGTAAGACAATTTAGCAGAGTAGCTGAACTAATAATCCTATAGGCTATAAAAATAATATTTTTTTACACAACATCATTTGATTTAGGCAAATTGTAGTTTAGCAACAATTCCATTTTAGTGGTAGGCTATCATATCTAGGCCTAATTAAACATGGATTATCAATCATATTAACCAGGGCCAATTAGGCCTACCAAAGAAAGTGTACTCTATAGTGATGGAGAGACTTATGCTATTTAATGTGATAGCCTATCACTTCATGCCACTTAAATACGGTTAATTGACTTCATACAAACATTATATTAATTTGTCTAGAAAGTCTGCACATCTTCAACGAAGCTGTTGAATTGAGGCTAACTTGTTGGCACCATCACAGTAAATAAAGTTGGCATTCTCAGGGACTCTGGTCAAGTGGTAATGTGTCAAATCTTGGTATCAAAACGACCGCTGATTGGCCATCTTAGAATAATCAGGGTAATGTAGCCTATAGGCTATAATAAAAGCCATTTACAGTCTATGGCCTGCCCAAAGGCAACATTTGAAAATGAAAACGTCAAGGTTTGATTCCTAGTCCAGCATTGAGGTGTCTCTCTTCGGTGGTTCAGGCCAGCAGACCAAGATGCAGCCTATATGGTCATTCGAGCACTAATTCATCACAATGTGGGAGAGAGCCAGACATTATAGTATCTGGCCTTTCTAAAGGCATTACATAACATTTAATCTTTCATATTTTTGCACATTTACATTTAATCTTTCATATTTAAGACTAGTAATGCTAAGTTAAATCCTGGTTGTATATATTCCCATTCTTAGTTTTGATATTTTTAGTGCTTATTTACTTTGTATTTAATATCATATTGTGTTTAGATTTGCTAATATTGTGTTTTTTACTCATATTGTGTGTTGGACAACCTGCTGCTGTAACGCCACAATTTCCCAGTTTGGGATCAATAAACTAATTCTATTCTATAAAGCTAGAATTCAAACTAATACAAAACGCTGTCACAGGCCATGTGTTCTTACACAATTCCACCAGAGGTCGCCACTGGTCTTTCTTAAATTAGCTACAACTTCAGTCTACTGACTTTGGACTCCAAGGCGGTTTTCAGGTGTAATAATTGCCTTTATAGGCTACTTCTCACACATTTGGAACTGGAGTTTTTTTGTAACTCAAAAGACTTTTTAGTTTACTTAAATTAACGCACACGCGCTATTTGGTCCTCTTAATCAGATTTCTAAGGTGAGAGGCACATTTTTGCAGAGGATGCTGGCGTGGATGGACTGATCCACAGATAGCAGGATTGTGTCTGGAGTAGGAAGGAAGGACCGCACAAGAACAGAAATGTACTGTCGGGGACTGACATTTTGAGATTTTACTGTGATAATAAGTTGTTTAAAGTAGGCTATGTGCAACTTGTGAGCGCCCTGCCTCTTTTTTTTTTTTTTTTGCGTTCATCAGCTGCATCGTGCAAGTAAGTGCGCGCGTCTGATCCACACAGTCGTCTCCTCTCCTCTCCGGATTCATGTGGATTATTGTGGCGTTTGTTCTGGCAGCGGCCGGGCCTGATGGAAGCTGGGGATGTCAACTGCCCCACGACTGGAGACCTCAGACAGAAGCGTGCCGTGCCGAGCTGGCGGAGATCATTGTCTTTGCCAAGGTGTTGGCACTGCATGAGGAATCTTACAGTATGTACAGGCACAACGACTTGCCGCGGGAGCACGACAGCAACATGTTCTTCTCCGCCGAGATTGAGCTTCTGTGTGATCAGGCATGGGGCAGCATGCTGGAGGTCCCTGCCGGCTCCAGGTTTAATGTCACCGGGCTGGGATACTTCCACTGCTTCTCCTATAGTGTCACCAAAAACAACAACTACTACTTCTTTCTAAGGTGAGGAACCCAGATATGACCTCAAGATGATGACATATTGTGGCCGATGTGATCCACTTTCCTAATGTGTAGTGTAACTAAGAACAATCTTTGCTCTTTCCAGAGTCGTTTTTCACTGTAGCCTATATTTTTCTATAAAGGAGGTGATACAGCCTGAAAAAATACACAGCAATGTCACAGGGTCCTGGAAAAGCAGGCATCATTTGAGTCAATAATGGCTGGCTTTCAATAATGGGGCTCCACCATTAGTATCTCTGCACAAATACATTTGCTTCACCTCATCCTTTCACGTTGGAAATTCAACTTCGACCGCTTCAAATCCAAGTAGAACTTTATTTAATTAATTTTGGATTAAACCACAAGTTCAAGGACTGTGTTGTCAAGGATTTCAGTCTGCTTCCAAGTCTCACAATGAGACACTTTGAATCACATCATTGTTTGGCTCCTCTATTTGTCCCTCAGAGCTCAGGGCCCCTCTGGCACAGGGTACACTTTAAAAGGGGTTCAATCTCTAAACTGGAGGAGAAGACGTGTGTCTGGTGATTCAGTGGGCCAAACATTTTGAGAATAAACAACACAGAGTTTGTATGTAATATAACTAACTTCTAGAAAACGCTTTTGCAGTATTACATTGCAAGATTTTGCATCCATTCTAGCCTTTATTTAGTTATACGTTTAAAATTGGTTAAATTGGAGAGAGGAGCAGTGAAGTTGAATTGATATCATCATTCCAGTCCACCAGGATTCCCTATCTTATATCTTTATTAGTTATCTCTGTCTGTTTCTTCAATAAAACCAGCAGAATCTTCAGACCTGAACGAGGATCTGTCATGAAAAGAAGGTAATAGGCTACTCTAGGGTGACTCAAATGCTTGTTGGCCAGGGAAGAAACATGTGTAGTCAAAAAGCAGAGTGTTGGCACCATCCTGACCTATTCTCTTTCAAACAGAATCCCTCAATGGGAAACCCTATTGATTCTGAGTTTATAATATATTTAATGACCTGCCAAACCTTCTTCTCAGATTTCAAAAATCGTATGTGGCAGCTTAAATCCTAAATGTCTGTGTTGGACAGAAACAACACTGTTACTCAGGAAACGTTGATTGCATTCCAGCCAGTGTAATTACAGAGCCAGACATTTCCCAACAGCTTGAAGGTAAAACTACAAAAATATTTTACTCAGGAGAGTTATCTGCATGCCAATATCTGATAGGACCACCCTTTGTCCTGCTGAAACAAACCAGTTTGCTGCTTGATGAAGAACATGTGCTGACAGGTCTTACTGATGTATCCTTGATGATGTGTGTGTTGTGTTTTTTTTTCAAACTGATGAAGGTTTTGATGTTCAGGTTATTAAAAAACATCCTTAAAACATTTGTTTGGCTGTTCCACACAAGGGTCTGCAGCAGCGTTCTTTAGAGCATATGTAACACTTCATATTCACAGAATCACTCACATTGTGTATTGCTGATGAAGCCTTTTAAGTTGATTCCATTCATTTTAATCCCCTTTGTGGTTTTGAAACTATCTGGTCATTATACCTGGAATCAGGCGAGTGAACACCACGGGGAACGTCCTGGAGCGATGGTCACAACAGAGCGCTGTTTAAATGCAGACCTGATGACAATTAAGAGCCTGTGATTACTCCAGTAAACCAAAGCAGTAATCTTTCCAGTGTTTACCAGGAACATACTGGTGAGGGAAGCCCTCCTCCCCTGAAATAGCGACCCACATTTCCCTCTGCAGAGGACTTTTGCCCACAAAGGATGTGGACCATTATGGCAAACCAAACATAGCTCAGATGGGTTATTAAATTACAAAAGACCAACAATGGCAATGCTTGCAGTTTTCCTTTTGAACCAAGTTATCTGGATAAAGTGAATTATTTCATTAACCTCAAACAACAAAACTTATTTTCTATTGACACAATTATAAAATAACTTAAAATGAGTATGTGGTTGATTAGACTTTTCAGGAACTCACTTCAGCCCTGTAATGATTTTAAAGAGTAATTATCACTGAATAGTTATTTATGTAAGATATGTTAATTAATAAAATATACTCCTGGGATAACTTTGTATAGTTGTCCAGTTACCATTCATGCTTTCTGGTATGGTTCTTCTGATCTCTGTTAGACATTAGAAGTTAAAAAGAGGAACCAATCTCACGTCTTCTTGTGATGAAGACTGTGCAAATATCAAAGTGGTGTGGAATCTTTACATCCATGAGCCAGCTATTTGCCTAAACATGTCCCGCTCTATGGCTAGCACCCTCCATCTCAAACCTAAAACAGATCAGTGTAGAGTTTCAAAGGACCACTATTGTGACCCCTGTGAAACACCAAGTCCCAGGCACACATGTGCAAGCCAAAGCTAGAAAGTTCTCATCGCAGTCTCCAATGGCATGGAGCAAAAGAAAATCCAACAGAGGATCTCTCTCAGGAGCTTTAAATGAGACAGACCAAGGGCTGAGCTTTATGTTGGCTGTAAAACGTCACCCTATTTCTCACTGCTTCTAGATTCTGTCCAAAAAACAAATACAAAATCTTAAAGGCGATGAGTTATGTTTAGTTTAGTTTCCATCATTGAAGAGTCCAGTTCCTCTGAATCAACAATCCTGTCTGACCTCACGGTCACTGTGTTTTTACATGACCTTAGACCTAGCGCTTTTTTCACGCACACACACACACACACACACACACACACACACACACACACACACACACACACACACACACACACACACACACACACACACACACACACACACACACACACACACACACACACACACACACACAGTCTCTGATAGGGACAACTAAACTTTTGATGTCCCTCGAGGGGTGTAAGATGGAATCCAGATGTATGGAAACACGCTGCTTCAAGACTTCCTCCCTCACACACTTTAAATCGTAGGAGAAGATATGAAACATGCACAGTAAATCCCATTGGGATGTCCAATCCACAATGCTCAAGTTTGCATAAAAATAGGGCAAGGATTTGTAAACAGTTCTAAAAGAAACACTTCTTTGTTATTAAACAAAAAGGGTCTAACTTTTGTCAGCTTCATAGGATAGGAAGGTGAAACCATTTGCTTTATCCCACACAGGATGGATGAGAACTACAATATTGTTCCTCATGGCGTTAACTTCCAGGACCCAATCTTCCCCGACACAGCAGACATACATCACATGTTTGCCAGCCTTTTCCAGTTTTCCAACTGTACTCCTGGTACTCAGGTCCACAGCTACACGCCGGAGTGGGAGGCTCAAGAGGACAGCAGGGTATGTAGCCCAAATCTACCACAATAAAATGATTCCTTTTAAACATTACACGTCTCTTTAGATGGTTCTTTGTCAGACATTTAGATTCAGTCTTAATATGTTCTTGATGGCCGTAGAAAGATTTGTAAAAAATAAAAAAAGTGTGGAGTGATCCTTAATAAACCCAAGTATTGTTGTGCACAAATGTTACATCCTGTTGTTTTCAAAGGAAGACTTAAAAGTAGCTGGCAAGTTAAATACATACTTCATTCATTTGAAACCAAAAACACGTTTTCTGAGGTTTTGGAAAGACAAAGAACTCCATTTAAAAAGGAAAAATCTACTTTAAAAACACGGCGTGGCAAAACATTTGTTGTTTCAAAGGCATTTCCTGCACACAAAGCTGAGCGCTTTATTGCAGAAGTATGTGTGACGTAAAGTAGACACACATCCAATGCAACGACAAAGGTCTTAAATAGTGCACAACATAATGGAGTTCATGACAGAAGAAACAGTAAGACATGTGGACCAGCTTCAAGATGTGATAAATGTTGAATTAAAGAGACCCCTTCTGTCAACTTTCTTATTCTTAAAATGAATTTATGGAAATGTAGTATTACAATGAAATAAAACCAGTGGATACACCATTAAAGTGAAAAACAGTCCTTGACGCTGTAAGCTTCTTGTATCACATCTGGGAGCCTTTGTGTCAGTAGATAAATGGTTTGCAGCCACTTTCCTTTTTTTCCCCCTCCTCAGTGAATCTAAACCTTTAGCGTAATCCCTCTGATTTGATCACTCTTCTTCAGTCTGTTTCTAATCATTTGCTGACTACTTATAAAAGCAAAAATCTGCTTTGGGTTAAGAGAATGAAAAGATGTTTTTTATTTCCACTAACAGCATGTGTTTGGGTCAGCATCTGTGATTATAATTACTCAGTGACATTAAGGTATCAGTTATGTTTCTTACATCACTCTTCTGATTGGATTTCCTCCTAGCCAAATAGAAACCACTTTCTTCTTGCTGACTTGCACAACCATTGTTTTGAGAACTGACCGAGAGTCCCGTCAGAACTGATAAGATTTTATAATTCAATGTCAACCAAAGACAAGCAAAATGCATTTAGTCATCATGAAAATAACATCAAATATTATCAGCAATGAAAACATTAGCAAGGGGGATTTTCCCACAGTATTATGGTCCAATAATACTATTTACTCTGAAGGGGTTCAATGATCACTTTCCTGACTTGATTACCCATACAAAAGCAAAACGAGGCTCACATCATTTTTGAAGCTTTTCTAATAACCTTTGTCCAAAGAAAATGTTGCTTCGACTCCTTTCCCACATCATCCCCTGCTCTGCCTCCCTGGTTGTTGTATTGCATCGACTATCCAATCTAAAAGAAGGCATGAAAGTTGCTAATTCTTTTCCTGAATCTTCTCACGCGAGGTTGTGGTCTAATGAAGTGAACAGGACGACATCATCTGCATACAAGGATACAGCAATTTTAAAGGTCCCCAACTGTCATTCAGACATCTGTCACCCACACCTTCATATGGAGGTTTGACTGATACCACCAATTAGTAGTAGACCCAAGATAGACCGGCAGCACCCTGGAGAGATTGTGTAACAATAGATTACGTATAACATCTGGCCAATGATTTTTCCCCTGTTCTCCTCCTGTTTTAATGTTGATGTCATATTCGTAAAAGCACTACAGCTTATCCTTTATACGACATGTCTTTCACTCAGAGGAAGGTTTATACTTTATGTCTCTGTCTTGGCTCCAGACTTTTTCTGAGGGTAGTTACCAAAGTATTTGTCAAAGCTCTAGCTTATAGGAGGCATGTGTTTGAGTGCAAGTCCTATTCTGAATGCACAGAACAGTGATGTGCCATTCCAACCCCCCATTGCTTTACATAACTTGATCATTCTGCTCCTGAACCCCGTCCTTTGCATTATAAAGTTTCATTCCTCTTTCAAATCCCTCATGGGACATAAGTTATAGCACATGGGAAAAATCCACAGCTAATATTTCACAGGATAATGTACTAAACAGTACTGTGGGCTCGTTGCCAGCCACACATTTCTTACATTTCCTCGAAACTCTCAGCGGTTGTTATCTGATGGAGGGGTATATCCATCAGTGTTACACACTGACCCATGTGGAAGCGTTAGGATCTGTGAAGGAAATCCACACTCAGGCAGACAGGCAGACATGCAGTCAGAGGCAGCCGGAGCAATACTTTTCACCCAGAAAAGGTCCAAGGCCTTTGGATAGTCTGTCAAGGGTTTTGCAGGAATGTTGGGTTTCATCTCGCAGTAGTATCTCACATAAAGCATGTTGTGTAACCTCTTTCAGATTTGTCCTCGTCCCTACCTGCAGCTACAGCCTGTTGTCTTTGGCTTTATATAAATTGGCTGGTACATAAATCAAACAGCATACAATGACTCTTGAAGTCTTCAAAAAAAATAAAAAAATCCACAAACTGTTCCACAGTAAGAAAGTTATTATCTCAAAATGACTTAATGATCGATTTCTTTCCATTTTCCCAAACCCCTTATTTTTCTTTTTAGGCTTAAAGGCAGCCCAAAACCTTCCTCTTCAATTCAAACACAAACAGTGAAATTTTGCCGAAAGACTTACGAGCTGTTGGCATTGCTTGTCAGCCCTAAAGAGCATGCCAGAAGTTTTCATTCATTTGACTTATCCAAAGGAAATTCAGTATCAAAAACAGCAGATGTGTCAGGGGGCTATATCGTATTCGTAAAAAAAAAAAACGCAAGTTCTCAAAATTAGTCAGTTATGGCTAGAAATCAAACAGGATTCACCCCAGAAGTTGTGGCAGATGAAAAACTGTTGGATAGCTTCATGAGAATAAAGTGTAAATGGTGTTCGAGGTAACCAGAAAGTAATTGATCAGTAACTTCTCGAAATCTCAGTGTGTAAAGGGGTCACAATCAACCACATTTTCCTGAAGTGCATTTGATCCTCCGTGTGTTACCTGTTATTCAAAATGTATGTGTTGCAATAAATGGAATAAACAAGCATAATTTCCTCTTCTTTATCACAGCTGTTGTGCTCTGCAGTGCAGAAGGCTCTGTTTGAGGAAGAGGAGAGGGTTACGACACTCTCCCAGCAGGTGCGTTCCTTGGAGAAAGCCAATGATCATCTTAGGGAAAAAGTGAAGACAATGAAACGTCTGCTACGCCAGGCCCAACGAGAAACAACCAAAGAGCAAAACACCATCGGCCTCAAACAGCTCTTCGAGTCAAAGATGCCCCAAACTCACCAAGATCAGGACACTACACAGGACCAAAAGAAGCCGCCACTTAAAAAAGTCCTCTCCAGAAATCTAAAAAACTAGAGCTTTTGAATTTTGTTGTATATAAACCAAATTAATTCACATGAGGCGTCGACATCAGACAACTGAAACAAGTGTATATGAGAATGGGAGAAGAGACAGATGACAGCAGCAATGATTCAGAATCAGAATAATCGAGGAGTTTTAGTGTATTTATTTCATAGATCAAATGTTCTTATCCTGAAATAGAAAAACAACTGAAAAAAGAACAAACCCTAAAATATTAAAACAATAACATGAGCAGGCCTACAAAAACAGGAAATGTTGCACTAAATCATGAACAGTAGGGACATAATATCTGTGTCTCTGCAGAGCATACAGTATGCAGTCAGTAAACTCTTGTCATATATCAGCAGAATACACAGGTACTTAAGGGATGGAGTAAAGGGGGGATTGGACACTAAGTGATAGCAGATGTTTCTTATTATTTCCCTTTGAAGGTAAAAAAAACTATCCAGGTGTATTAAACTCCCTTCAGGCATTCCTGAGTTATTGCGTCACAAGAATGTGACAGCCAGAAAATAGGTTTTCTGGGACATGATGATGTGGAAGTGAGGTGGACTAATTGGTCACTTCATCATGTATACTTAACAAGATGAATGAGATATTGTCATTATAGGAAAATAAATGTGTGAGTTATGTAGGATACATAAACATATTTTACAAGGATACGTCGACCTTGAACTTTGACTTGTGGCCGCGAAAATTCTCATCAGTTTATTAATTGTGTCCCAGTTTGACCAAACATTTGAAGACACTCTTTTTGAGCGTTACTGAAAAATACAAGACTGGTGTGAAAAGAATAATGTACAGGTGACTCTGAAAATGTAGTTTATGGACATGTCTGTTGGAACGTAGGCTTAAAAAACTTTACCCTTTAACAGACTTGACAAAAGACTGTTGTTTTCTAGTTACTGGTTAAATTGACCTGTGCCATTGAGACAGTAAACTACAAAGAGACCATTCATGCCTATTTACATTTTTAGCCCCATAGCCCAAAGCACTGTGTGTGTGTGTGTGTGTGTGTGTGTGTGTTGAACTGCCTCCAGTGTAAAAAGGATTTAAATCAGGGGTGCCCAACCTTTTTTGAACCAAGATCTACTTTTAAAGTTGCCAGTCTGCCGAGATCTACCAGTCCACATAGTGAGCCATAGCCTTTACCAACAGCCTACAAACGCATTTAATACTCAATCAACAAACATAAAATAATATCAGATATAATAAATGAGAGTTCTGTAAAAAATAATGCAATATCGACATACTTTTTTTAAAACTCTTATTTTAGGGTAGGCTACATTTTAATATTACGTTTGTATTTATATCACATATATTTTCCCCTTAATTTAGTTTACAACAAACAACTTTAATCTGTGTGGAGATGTTCACAGACTACAGCAGGCTGCTGTGAGATGATGTTGCTTTTGTTAAATTAGCTGCAGACACGGTGAGAGTGAACGGAGTAAAGTCCAACCGACTGTTTGACCGGGTCACGTGTGTTCCCACCTCGGTCCGTACGGATCACGGATCAACTGTGTGTGTAGCACTAAAAGTAAAAAGTAAAAAGGTTCGCGTGGTGGCTGGCGCTCCAGTGCAAGTGTGTGTGTGTGTGTGTGTGTGTGTGTGCGTGTGCGTGTGCGTGTGCGTGTGCGTGTGCGTGTGTGTGTGTGCGTCTGCGTGTTTGCGCTGTTTGTTGGTGTGTCTCGTCCCCCGCGATGCTCACAGTCATGACAGCAGAGAGGAGCAGAGAAAAGTAGCTGCAGCTTCATCAAATGCGCTTAATACTCGTAGCATAGTTTCTATATATGACTTTTTGGTAAAACATTTACCCCCCGGTTTTACCTGCACGTCATTGCGCATGCCTGCACTCTCTTTTGCGCGCGCTCTCTCTCTCTCTCGCTCGCTCTCTCATGCACGCAGCAATTTCATGAATAAATGAAAAATTAAATACACACAGGTCGGAAGTATACTTGGGCTCCCAACACAGGTATCGTGTGTGGGAAACAGTGCAATGAGATGAAATTGAAATCACTTTTCTATTTTACAATTGTATTTTATATTGACTAAACATCTCGCGATCGACTGAGAATCAGTCAGCGATCTACCTACCTGTCGATCGCGATCGACTGTTTGGGCACCCCTGATTTAAATGTTTCCCAGGAGATCCTCCTCTAAAGCTCTTTGTTGATTGATGGTGAGTATTCTCTCTGAATAACTGTTACTGCTAAATGTCTCAGCTCCAGACTTTTACCTTGGCTGTTTATTTGTTTAAATTCAGTGGCAGCACAAACATTCTCCAAACACTAAACACTACTATTGAAAATATGTGGAAGATGTAAAAGCACTAAAAAATTGAATTTCTCATGTTTTCTTTCTGTGCTGGACACACTATGCATTATATGAATATGATTAACATTTCTTTCTTCAGAAATGCTGTTATGAAAATGCTCCAAATCATCTGTCGGAGGTCCACTTAAGGACAAGTTAATGTGAAAGTGTCAATCATGTGTTTATGAAATAGAGCAGCTATTAATTGAAAGAGTGTTATTAAGTAGTGGTGAGAATTGAAATATTGTCTGAGGAAATACAAAAGGCTCAAACCGTGTGTGAGTGTTTAGTTACAGAGGGGCAGATGTGCCAAAGTTCAAATGCTGCAAGGTTGTTTGTTACGTCATATCAAATTTTCTACTTTTAAGTCCATCTATTTAAAGGCTTAATATGCGATTTTTCACACTTAACTGTAATATAAATCAAGTATATCCTCTGAAAATAACTCTGTGAGTCATGACTGTCTACAATGGGTGTAACACCCGAGCCCCACTGTCTGTGATGTTTTCAGAGTTTTCAGAGTCCTATCTTCACTTTGTTTACATCGCCCGGACAGCCGGCTGACTCCTCCCCTCACGTATAAAAGTTGTTTAATTGAGGGACTAGAGAAAAGAAGAATAACATACTGTACTCACTGCTTAACTGTGTTTCTAGATCACGCTCATTTCAGGTAAATTTACATGCAGTGTGAAGATACGAGCATAATAAAGATCGCTAGCATTAGCATGCTAACACAACAATGCACCACGAGTTGTTTTGGTTTCATGCTGGTGCTCAAGGGCGACATCTGCTGGATCAAAAAATCGCATATAAAGCCTTTAATGAACGTATATTGTCTCACAAATGTCATTTTTTTCTGCTTAATGCAAGGGTTATTATTCAAAATGTACTGAATGAAAGCAAAAGATTTGTATTTAAAAAAGGTGCTGAGCACCCAGTTAGGATTCATTTCAACCCTTGTAACAACGTACAGTTCACTTTAGTTACTTTTTTTTTTGCATATCTCATTATCTCCCTTTTTTCTTTTATCATCTGGTTTGCTTTTCCAGTAGCATAATCCATTTTATAACATTTTATGTAGTTCTTTTTTTTTTTTTAAATAAATGAACTTTACAAAACTTCCCATGTCAATGTTTTGGTCTAATTTGTCTTCATAACAAGCCTATGTACTTTTTTTTGGTAGAATTAAAAAGGGACAGAGGAAAGAATCATCAGCCAGAAATAATTCTGGAGGAAGCTTTCAACAAACAACTATAAAATAACATTTTGATTCAAAGATTATTTTGTTTAACTGCTTGCATCTTCTGCCTTACTTGCAGAATAGAGCTGTATGTATCACTTTAAATTAGCCTCCCAGTTTAGCATCAGCCAAAAGCAGAGAAAAGTGACAACTGAGACAGCAGTGAAGCAGAGAGGTAATGAATTCAAGAGAAAGTTTCAAACCTTATGTTATGTTTCCTGCTTTCCATGTATCCGAGTCAGAGAAGTGATGAATGTCTTTTGGCATGCACAACATGTTCAGTGTGATCCAATGCTAATAAATCAAAGATGTTCAAAGATCCGGTGCAAATTCAAAAGCAACATAAATCCTAAAAATAAATTGGCCCTGATTTGACCTCTTTCTTCCTAGCCTTTGTCCATTTTACCTTCAGTTCACTTTCAAAATAAGCGCACCATTTTAGGCCCTCAACTATTTTCAATACAATTTCCAGGAGACCTGAACCAAATTTCTTCCACATGGTGCTGTTGTTTGAGAAAATCGACACATTTCAAACATGTTCAATGTCAGGAACTCTACTGCAGGATTTTTGTGCAGGGTATGAAAAGGACATTTACAAGCTTTCTACAAGCATATCAGCTGACAAGAAGTGCTCATCTCCCGTCTTTGTTAGCTCTTTTCCCCCCTTGAAATCTTTGCATCAGACAATCTTGCTTGCAGCCAACTGTCAAAATCCCATGGACCTGGGCCAAAGATGATATACACACACTGCTTTCTCAACATAAACCACTGGGCATGACCAAGCTGCAAAACAGATGTCAGGCAATATGACTGCATAGTGGTGGTCCCTTTTAAAAGACCTGCCTATCTGTGGACACGGTTTATTTATCTTGACTTGTTCTATGTTTTCAAACGCTGTTACTTTCTTTGGCTGCTCTGGTTTCTTTTCTTTTTGTGTATCATTAATCCCATAGCTTCTGATTGTGATTTTTACCCAACCTGCATGTGATCTTTTTTCATTTAGTTTTTCATTCTGTCGGCCATTTATCTGTCCTCATAAAGAAATCCACAGGAGAGATGTCTGACTTTGAGCTATGTCACCTGACTCACTCCAACGTTTCTGTAATTAATTATTTGTCTGCACTTGTAGAGCCATTGTTTCCTTTGATGAGGAAAACAGATCTTTGAGCTTTGAATAAGTTACCCCCATCATTTGAAAAGAAGACAAGCAGCCAAATGGTACTCCTGTGAAAGTGAGCAGTGTTGCTTTTAAGCAAAATCTAGTGCTAGGCTAGCACTGTTAGCATGCAGATGTAGCAGAGAAAGGAAAAACGAGAGTGAGAGAATGGAAAGTATATCAGTTTTTCCATAAACCAAATTAGATATTAACACATATTAGATGTCTGAGGAACACAATCTAATGCATGAACACTACTTCTTCAATGATTTCTAGCTGAACGTGTGTCCTGTTCTTTAGTGTATGTATGATATGAGAAATGAGTTCCCTGAGTCAAAACCAAATTCCTAGGAGTTAACCATAGACTTTTTGCCATAACTGGTCTGTGGGATTTAATCTAGTGCTACAGCCATTATTTTAGACTTGGAAAAAAAAACACTGAGCTCACTCTTTTTGGCTTGCCAAGATACTTATGCAGAAGTTCACTCTCTTGGGTCTCGAGAGACACCCACTACATGGCTGAGGCCTTAAGCACAGTATTTTCAGGAAACAGCGATTTGTGTTAGACTGGAACTGTAGAAGTCTCTAAAGGCAAACACACACATCAGTCATCCTTATTGAAACAGACGTAGACAGGCAACAATGAAAAATCACCTCCTTTTTGCCAGAATATGGCTGGTCTAATGTACAGAGATGATGAAGAAATGTTTCTACTTAAATCAGAGCCACATCCTTGGAGGGGCCGGGTAAACTGAAGCAGAAAACTGATTGACAGAGTTGTGAGGATAGAAACGCTATCACTAATAATACAGTCTATGGTTGGCACTCATTCACTGATTCTTACGCTAGGCTACTTTACATTTCCCCCATCAGCCACGCTAGCAGCATGTTGTTTTCCTCTACGGCCATCAGCATGTTTTAGTTTTTGGACTTTAGAGAAATGCAGTAACAGATTTTGATGGAGGCTAATGCCAGTAAATATGGCACACATTCACACCTTTTTATTTATAAAGCGCTGATTGGGATGGTGCCTCCTAACATTTCATCCATGTTAGTCTGGTCTTCTGGAGTGCATTTACACACTATCGAATGACTGGCTTACACTGCAGGTTCCTAGAGCTCTAATGACCTTGGAAGATCTGCTTTTGGCATCTTTGCACCGTCAGCTTGGAATTTGCTACAATGCACTTTAAAAATCAAGGCACTGGTCTCTTATGGCCATTTTAGATCTTTAATTATTAACTTCTTTACTTTTGATTGCACATGTTTTAACTGATTTTGTTTTTAATACTTTTTATTATCTGTTTGTTGGTTTTTAAATGATTTTGTTTATCTATGATGTGTATATATATGTGCGTATGTATACAGTATATGCATATACTTATATGTGTATGTGTACATAATATGTATGTTTGTTATTTT